TCTCCTCCCAGTTACTCGGAGGAAGAAATGGCGAACTCGCGGGGATGAGCGATCAGGCTTGAGTGATTTAATGCCGGCAAAGCCCCTGCGTGCATCACTCTCCACGCACTCTCCACGTGAGGATCGCGCAGAACGCTGTCACCAATGATTCAATATCGCTGACAGCTTCGTATTTAAATGCGCCTCTCGCCTGGGCCACGCCTACGCTGAGGCTGCGCTCGCTGACAGACCGCTCTCACTATGAGAGTTCATGTCTCGCTCTGCTTTGCTCGCGGCTCACCCTCTTCAATGACTGCGGCCCTGCCCTTCGCTACAAGAGGATCTGAGAGAATGCGCGCAGCACTTTTGATCTGCCTGAGTGTTTACACAAAGATCATCAGTACTCTTCTAATGAGCGGTTTGATTTTTTTAGGCAGATTAAAAGAGAATGCTGTCACTAATGATTATCACTGACAGCTTCAAATTGGACGCGTCTGGGCCACGCCCACGCTGAGGCAGCACGCACGAGGGCTGACTGCTCTCGCTAGTAGATCATTAAGTCTAGCGAAGAATTTTTTGAAAGCATTTTCAAAAGAGAGCAAATTTCCTCTTCTGAGTGTGGGGTCCCCATACGGCGACTAGCCACTCAAATTAATCCAACCCCTTGTCACGGGGGCTGAGGCCTGGCAGGCCATCCCCGGAGTGCCAGACGGGGTTTTTGGGGACATAAAACAAGGTTATTCACTGCAATTCGCTCGAACACCCCCGCGATTCAGCGGCATGGTTCCCACCTCGGTTTAGAGAGAAGACGCACACGTCCTGCGCCCTGAGGTGATGAATTTGATGGCGATAGGAGCCGTAGAAACTGTTCCCCTAGCTCAGAGCGAGTCAGGCTTCCTCTGCCGCTACTTCCTCGTCCCCAAAAAGGATGGCAATCTAAGGCCCATCCTCGATCTCAGGCACCTGAACCGCGCCCTCGTGAGACAGCCGTTCAGGATGATTACATTGAAACACATCCTCTCGCATGTGTGCCCAGGGGACTGGTTCTTTTTGCTGGATCTGAAAGACGCCTACTTCACATCCAGATAGTTCCCCACCACAGACAATTCTTGAGATTCGCTTTTGAGGGAGTGGCATATCAATACACGGTCCTTCCCTTGGGACTGTTCCTAGCTCCTCGCACTTTTACGAAATACGGAATCCGCATCGCTGTCCCCCAGCCAACGGATATCGTTCCTGGGAACAGTTCTCAACTCAGCCCGAATGAGGGCGGTAGTCGCGCCAGAACGTGCACTAGCTATTCAGCAGCTCGTGGCCTCATTCAAGTTGGAGCCCCTCGCCCTCTCAAGGTGTTTCAGAAGATGCTGGGCCTCATGGCCTCAGCGTCTCCGGTACTTTTGCTGGGTTTACTTCGCATGCGGCCCCTTCAGTGCTGGCTGAAACCACGAGTTCCGTCCCACGCCTGGCGTCTCTGACACCTTTGTGTCAAGGTGGACCGGGCCTGCGTAGCAGCTCTGGCCCCTTGGAAAGACTCTCAGTGGATGGAATGAGGTGTGCCCCTGGGAATGGTCTGCAGAAGAAAGGTGGTCTCGACAGACGCTTCCAACATGGGTTAAGGAGTGCTGTGCGATGGCAAACCGGCTTTCGGCCATTGGTCAAAAGAGGAGGGTCGGCTTCACATCAACCGCCTCAATATGCTGGCAGTATATTTGGCCTTCGCACCTTACTGCCAGACCTAAGGGGACACTACATGTTGGCAGACAGCATGACAGTGGTGACATATATATAAATCGCCAGGGCAGTCTCTCCTCGAAGCGCCACTTCATTCTTGTAGAGCGCCTCCTTGAATCGGCTCAGCTCAACTTGCGTTCCCTATTGCAGCGCATGTGCCGGGCATGTTGAACCAAGGAGCAGACATGCTATCTCGGAGCAACGTCCCCTCAGAAGAGTGGATGCTCCACCAACGTACGGTTAAAAGAATCTGGGAGATCTTCGGCAAGGCAGAGGTCGACCTCTTCGCCTCAGAAGACAACTCTCATTGCCCAACTTACTTTTCGATAGACAGAGACGCATTGGCCCACGACTGGCCCAACCACTTCCTTTATGCTTTTCCCCCGATCCCGCAGGTAATCAGGCGAGTCAGGGAACACAGACACAAGATTTTGTTGGTGGCCCCGCTCTGGAGGAACCAGCAGTGGTATGCAGAGCTGTACCAGCTGCTCTCGGCA